ATAATACATTTCCAACTTTTGACCTTTGCTGATCTAACAGGTACAAAATAGCATTGCATTATACAATTCACATTCTTTCATTAGGAGTGGAACTGCACATCTTTTCTTGGGTTTGAAAGCCAGTTATGTTGTTTTTCAAAAATACTTCCTACTTAATACTTACATACGAATGTAATATTATATATATATAATGTATGTATATATATATCAATAATATATATATATAGCTTCGAGTGGACCCTAAATGTTTGGCACACCCATTTCTTTATTTTATTTTTTTTTTAACATTTATTTATTTTTGAGAGACAGGGCATGGGCAGGGGAGGGGCAGAGAGAGAGAAGGAGACACAGAATCCAAAGCAGGCTCTGGGCTCCGGGCTCTGAGCACACAGCCTGATGCAGGGCTCGAACTCATGAACTGCGAGATCATGACCTGAGCCGAAGTCGGATGATTAACTGACTGAACCCCCCCCCAGGTGTCCCTGGCACATCCAGTTCACATGTACTATCAGTCTGAAGATTCCACGGGCACTCCAAAGCCAGAAGCTTCCCCTTTGCTACTGCTGCTTGAGATTAAGAAAACCTGGTTCCCTCACTCCCTGCGGGTCCTTAAATCTTGACTGAAGTTTCCCACACCATTTTGCGGACGAAAATCTGTGACCTCAAAGGACAGAAGTCATACCAATGCAAAACCTAACAAGCTGGAGAGTGCCTCCCCCTACTGGTTGATTTAGCAAAGAACTCATTGGTTCTTTTTCATTATTATTAACTCCAGCGGAGCTAACATACAGTTCCCTTAGCTTCAAAGGCACAATTCACTGGTTCTGATCAAGAGGTCAAATTCTTATGGCAGTAGACCAGTATTTCTCAAAATCGGGTCTAGGATGTATTCCAGAAGGTCCAAGAAGTCTCCAGAAGACTTAGATATCTGCATTTTAATTTTTAAACTTAAAGAAGTTAATACTCATATTCTGGATTATCTGCGTGACTATCTTATGACTGAATACAAATCTCCGTGGCCAAATACGTGTCTATGTCTATGATCTCGCACACACCTGCTGTCACTGCTGGTTACAGGGCAGACAGCATGAAAATGATGTGCTCTTGCTGGGTCCCAGGCCAAACAGTCAAGGTAGACGACACCAACATTTCAAAGTATTTTAAAGAACACACGAAGGGCAGTTGATTGTATAGTTGGGCATCCGACCCAAACCCTGCTTTGGAGACAGGCTCCTATAATTAATCACTCCACCCGACCAATGTTACAGAGAAACCAGAGCACGACAGCTGAGGGGGAAGAACTGAACTAATACTAAACAGCAAGGCCAACTATTAATGGACAGGAAAAAGTGTCCCGTTTGAGAAGAAAACCGGGTGGGTGGGGTGGTGCTGATGCCCTTTGTTGGTACTTCGCTGTGAAAGCCCAGGTAAGAAGAGGGACCGGGTGACGTGGACACCTAGGGCCCCAGGGGCAGTGCTGGAGAATGTATGACCGCAGGAATGACCGCATTTCTGGTCACTATCATAACAAAGCAGATAGTAAACACGTAATTGTGCATATAATTCATATTTGAATTGAATATAATTGAAGTATTTAATTCGTATAAAAATAAACCTGATGGAAAGTCTATCTTCTTATAGCTTTCAGTCTTTTCTCTCGATTTCCAGAACTCTTGCTCATTCCAAAACTGCAGTTCTCCATGGCCTAACACTGCTCCTTACACCTTTTCCCTGGTGACATAGAGAACCTAGACAATGGGTTTTTATTATTTTATTATTATTGTTTTTTTGGAGAGGGAGAGAGTACGAGTTGGAGACAGGGGCAGAGAGAATCTTAAGCAGGCTCCACGCTCAGTGCGGAGCCTGACGCTGGGCTCGATCCCACAACCCCGGGATCATGACCTGAGCCGAAATCAAGAGTCAGACGCTCAACCAAATGAGCCACCCAGGGCTCCTATATATATACATTTTAATGTTTATTTATTTTTGAGAGAGAGAGAGACAGAGCATGAATGGGGGAGGGGCAGAGAGAGAGGGAGACACAGAATCTGAAGCAGGCTCCAGGCTCCGAGCTGTCAGCACAGAGCCCGACGTGGGGCTTGAACCCACGAACTGTGAGATCGTGACCTGAGCCGAAGTCAGACGCTTAACCGACTGAGCCACCCAGGTGCCCCAGGGCTCCTATATTTTTAAATTTAACTAAAGCTTTGTCCCCAAACGATGGGTTCTCTTTATTTCCAACATGGTATCCAAGTACCATGTTCTACTGAGTCTAAAATACCACTCATCATATGTTTTCCCATAATTTTCTGGGCCACTAAAAAGGAAAATGGGCAATTCAATTATAAGGACACTGAATATACATTAAATCAGTATCCTTAAAAAAATTATACTTCTATTATCCTTTCAAATATCCCTAATCCCTGAGGAATTTGTGATGATCTCAGCTTTTCTCTCATTTCTGCAGCCCACTGTCAGACCGGCACAAGTGTGCGGTCTGAGCACCGGCCTGTGGGCGACACTCGAGCGTCTACTTACGATGTAGTCCTCGTCCTCGTCCCTGGGGCCAGGACTGTAATACACCCTGTACGCTCTGGCCACTCGGTCGATCTCTTCTTTGGTGCCAGTCAAGCCAACCAGTTTGGGAGAAAATTCTAAATTAAAAAAAAAAAAAAAAAAAAAAAAAAGAGAAACACAGTGAAAAATAAGAAGCGAGTGAAAGCACCTCCCATCCCCTGCCTTCAGAGTCTCTGCTGCTGCTTTCTCCCCGTGTGTCCTGGTCCCCCCCTCGTGACTCACGGGAACAGACACACACACAGAACAAACGCAAACTCTCCCTTGTAATGAAGAAGTCACGTTCACCAAAGACAGGCCACATTCTGAGCCATCAAACACACCCTAACACATTTAAAAGGACAGAAACCATACGTGTGCTCTCAGATCACAGTGGAGTTGAACTCAAAGTCTGTAACAGAAAGATCGCTGGAAAATCCCAGGACACACAGGGACGAAACATACTTCTGAATAACACACGGGTCAAAGAAGAAATCTCAAGAGATATTTAAAAGTATTTTGAGCTAAGTGAAAATGAAAACACAACTTATCGAAATTTGTGGGATGCAGCCAATGCAGTCCTTCGAGGGATATTTGTGGCACTGAATTTATACAGTGGAGAGGACCTAAAATCAGGATTCTAAATATCCCCCTTAGGAAGCTAGGAAAAGAAGAGCAAATTAAATCCAAATGAGAAGAAAAGAACTGGAGCAGAAATCAATGAAACTGAAAAGAGGAAAAAAATCACTGAAACCCAAAGCTGGTTCCTTATCATATGGAAGTGAAATCCTTTCAAAGTCCTTTTGTAATGATCTGGAGGGAATATGTTCTAATCATTTAAATCACATTTCTTATTAATTTGGTTGTTTTTAAATACTCAGATACGGTTCTGAGACACGCTCAAGCTTAAAGATACTACCACGAATTAAGCATGACAGTGTTTTGTTGTATCCTGAAAAAGAGGTCTGCTTTTTGCTTCACAATTCACTCGACTCTGGTCCAGGGCTGTGTCTCATCTTCCAGCAAATAACCTCCCGGCATGTATTTACTGTTTGGTTTTTGGGATTTATGGAAGTGAGCTGGTGAAGTCACCATACCACCATGAGGATGGAAGTACAACACTGAGCAGCAGTGCCTTCTTCCAAAGGCAGAGAGGAAAAAAGCCTGTTTTCATTTTTCGGACTAATCCAACCTAAATTGAAAATCTGTTCAGCTACTGAAAAAGCACAATGGCTTGTTTTTCTTTTCCACTCTGAGTAAACAGAAAGGTAAATGAAGTCTGAATTAGCTGTATATCCAAAACTTTTAAAAAATATTGCTGAAATTGCAATAATTTTCTAAATATGAACTTAAATATGTAAAAAAAAATTATTAAGTTTCTTTATTAATTTTGAGAGCAAGTGAGTGAGCACACAAGCGGGGGAGGGGCAGAGAGAAGGAGAGACAGAATCCCAAGCAGGCTCCGCACCATCAGTGCAGAGCTGGATGCGGGGCCCAAACTCATGCACTGTGGGATCGTGACCTGAGCCGAGATTAAGAGTCGGACGCTTAACCCACTGCACCACCCAAGTGCCCCAAACTTAAATATTTTCAAATCCCCCCACCCCATCCAGTGCAACTGGTCAAGATGACACCATCTCTGTATGTATGTGCTGGTGGAGAATATTACCGTAAGGGTTTTGCATTTCAGTTACAGGAACTCAGATGCCTACTTATCGGGAGATATTTAGGATTTGGTTAATTTATGGTTAAAAAGAAAATAGCTGCCAACGTAACACACGCTTCCATCAGAGACCGTTTATCACCCCATGAGTTATACCTGCTTTTTACTGCTTTTGGAATAAACTATGCCATTGTTCAAATTTCTGCCTAACCTGCAAACAGTGAACACAAATTCACCTTGAATATCTAATAAAAGCTCTAAAACTTTAAGAAAACATACGCCTTTGTAACCTTGGGCTGGACAAAGATTTCTTACACATGACACTAAAAGAAGGGTCTCTAATTGTCTCTAAACCAATAAAGTGCTCTTCAAACCACACCAAGCGTGGGGAGCACGGGCAGGAGCCAGAGCTCTCATGCACGGCTGCTGGGAATGTGAAAACTTACAACCACTTTGGAATACTATCAGTTTCTTAAAAAGATGAACACACACCCACCACACGATCCAGCAATCAGGCGTTTACCAGGGAAATGAAAAGTATGTGTCTGTACAGAGGCTTGTACAGGAATGGTCTTGGCAGCTGTCTCTCTCCGTAAATAGCTCCAAACTGAAAGCGACTCCAGTGTCCATCACTGGAATATTACTCAGAAGATAAAAAAGAGTCAACTGATAACATGCTAAATCACGGACGGGTCTCAAAATAATTATGCGGAAAGAAGCCACTAAAAACAAAAGAGTACACTAAATAATTCTGTGGACACAGACTTCTAGGAAATGGAAACTAATCTATGTTGACAGACAGCAGATCTGGGGATGGGACGGGGGCAAGGGCACAAGGGGGTGACAGGTATATTCATTTTTTGATGGTGGTGATGGTGTCACAAGTGCAGACATGACAAAAGATAACTGTGCACTTTGAATATGTACATGTTATCATATGTCAATTATATCTCAATAAATATGTTAAATGACAAGATACAGCAGGTCCTTCACAAAACACACTTTTAAAAAAACCTCAAAGCTTTAGATGATACACATTGCAATGTGTCATATAACAAAATTAAATGTAGAAGTACTCATTAGCTCCTTTGGCCTAAATCAATTTCACCATAATGAGACTTAAAATTCCAGTTCCTGACTTTTGAGTGCCCATGTTCCTGTCACTCCTGTAACAACAAAACAGATTCTTATTCCCATCATTTTTTCAGCTGAAGAAACTTGGACCTTAAGAAATTATGCAACTTGCCCAAGCTCCTAAGAACGTAAGCATTCGTCCTTAATTCTACCGGCACTCGGTCTTTCGAATTGCTTTCTCATAGGTTTTAACCTGAATGTGATGTTTCAACTGAGATTCTTTTTTTTTTTTTCAACGTTTATTTATTTTTGGGACAGAGAGAGAGAGAGCATGAACGGGGGAGGGGCAGAGAGAGAGGGAGACACAGAATCGGAAACAGGCTCCAGGTTCCGAGCCATCAGCCCAGAGCCTGACGCGGGGCTCGAACTCACGGACCACGAGATCGTGACCTGGCCGAAGTTGGACGCTTAACCGACTGCGCCACCCAGGCGCCCCTCAACTGAGATTCTTCTATGAAAAGTTATAAATGTGCTTCTCATAATAAATGTTCTGGATTTATAAAGTATACGGTAGGAGTTCACGCTGTGCTCACATCTCATAATGTCGCTAATCTTGGGGCGCCTGGTGGCTAAGTCAGTTAAGCGTCCAACTTTGGCTCAGGTCATGATCTCACAGTTTGTGAGTTTGAGCCCCGTGTCGGGCCCTGTGCTGACAGCTTGGAGCCTGCTTCGGATTCTCTCTCTCCCTCTTTCTGCCTCTCCCCTGCTCGCTCACGCTCTAAAAATAAACAAACTTGAAAAAAAAAAATCAATGTCGTTAATCTCCCAACGTCCATACTCCCAGGATGTACATCTGTCCTATCACAGAGAGAATGAGGTACAGAGGCGGAAGGAGAAGCAATGTGTTCCGCCTCTCAACTCAAGATTCTGTTAACTTAGTTGATATCTGAGGCCAAGTCCGGTCCTTCCTGTGACAAAATACAGAGAGCTGTGCATCAGGAATTGAGAAACGTGTTTCTTATTTGCTTATTCACGGTCACAACTGAGCCTCACCTTTTTTATTCACCTGTAAACCTGACGACGACACCATTCGTCCTCCCGTGTCCATGAGGCACGTAAGGTCGAATGAATCTATCTTTCAAGAACTCTAAGAGCTACACAAATGTAAAGCATTATTAATAGGACCTACCTTTCACATACTTGGCGATGGCTTCTTTGGTGTCCCTCTCTGGGTCGATAGTGATGAAAAGCGGAGTTAAATTTGGCAGAGTTGGAATTCCATCTGAAAGAATATTCCCACTGGTCAGTACTCACGCTCTGGGGGAAAAGATGAACGCTGGCAGTTACAGCAGAGCGAGCCGGAAGTGCTACAGCGAGGGTTAGGGAAACACAGGGACACCTAAGCGTGGAGGAGAGGACGGGGAAGGGATGGGACGGCCTGCGAGCAGGTCCCCAGAGTATCTGCGGTGGGATCAGATAAGAATCCTACTGAACACCTTCACCGGTGCACACGTGTTACCGGGGTCCCGTCACGTGGGCATCTCGTGTTCTGATCCAACGCGATGTTTGCGGTTTTCGCCCCACCACACCTCAAGGGCAAGGTGAACTATTAGTGAGGACTGAATCCCCGGAAACAATCCAGCTTAAGGATGGAGGCCTGCCTCCTGTCTGGGACTAACCAGTGCGGCTGACGGCACATCACGGACCACACCGCCGTCTTGCTAGTCCGTCACGGAGACAACGACAGTGTCAGTGACGGATGTCTACAATCAAGGGACATAAGCAGCGCTACAGGAGACCAGACCTCACTCACATTTTTAAGAAATTTAACATTTGGCATCAGAACAAGCTCCCTCTGGTAGAGAATATGGTCGTGGGAATCAAAGCAGCAAATGAGCCGGATGCTGAAATTTTATATTCTCAGAAAGCAAATAATTACAACACCTTGCCCAACGGAAATCCGAGGACGTGAAACTACGGAAAAGTAGTTTTTACAGTTAGCGGTGGCTTACCTATCTCATCCACGACTTGAATCATTTTTTCTAGTTCTTCTGGACAGATATCAGGGCAATGAGTGAAACCAAAATAAATCAGGACCCACTGACCCAGGTAGTCTTGGTCAGTGACGGGCTCTCCAGTGTGAGTCGTGAGGGAAAACGGGCCCCCGAGGAGAGGCTTTCCCAAGCTCCGCTGCCGCTCCTTCTCTAGCTCTTAAAGAGATACAAACACTCATGTTAAACAAGTCAGTCTAACCACAGGCACCGAAATGCCTGATGTACGGTCGGTACTGTACTAATGACTGTGGGGGCACAAAATGTGCTAAACAGTCTGTTTCCTAGAAACTTAAAAAATATTTTAAGAAAAACAATCCTATGACAATGCAACAAAACCAAATTGAATGGAATGGTATGTAGAGAGGACTCTAAGAAAGTGGTAAAGGTATTTCTTCCTCTTTTGGAATAGTTCAGTCCTGTCATCAGGTGTGGCCGTGGTGGGGGTGGGGGAGGGGCCACAGGGGCCCAGAGCGGACTGTCTGAGCCCAAGTGGGGCAGGGTGGGTGGCCTGGCACCAGGAGTCTTAACCTGAGTGTCCCAAGGGCATCTGAATGGGGTGGGGACAGCAGTGATGGGACCTCAGTTCTACACAGGGGATTAGTAACAAGTAAGTAAATTAAAGATAAGCGTTATACATGGCAAGAGGTGGAAAGATGGGGAGAAAAAACCCAAATGCAGTCTGTAGTACTGTGCAGAAACTGGAGGTGCCAGGGTCAACTTGTGGCTGCAAGATGCGTTCACACAGAAGCAAACGTAGATGTAACCACATCTGTCCACCGAGAGGACCCTGCAGTGGACACAACCCAGCAGCAACAAGCCCTGTGTTCTAAGTATCACCCTCCACTAAAAGCGAACAGGGCTTTTTGGAGACATGGCGGGTGTCAGGGCCATGGCAGAGAAGTACAAGACGAGCCTGGAACATCCTGTCACGTCAGACTGAAGGAAGAACTCCAAGAACACTGGAGACGTGTCCCAAGGAACAAGAGCTGCTCAGACTGCCAGGGACCAACAGGGGACAGTGGAGCATCAAAATAAAGAGAATATGGATTACGATTCATTAAATACGCAGGAGAGCACGAGTCCACACGGATATAAATAAATGGAGAGTTTGATGCAGACTGGGATGAACATTTAAGTGTGTAAATGCACACCACGAAATATATATTAATTACATTTTCGGGACAGAAGCCTGACAGACACACCCTCAACCTGAGCACTATCAGTAACGGGACCAAAGGAGGCCCTGTGCCACCAGATGAGACGCAACGAGAACAGAGCACGAGTTCTGTGACATTCCTGCTGAAGGAACGTGACCCGAATCTGATCACGAGGAAACCAGACAAACCCAAACTAAGGGACATTACTGGCCTGTAATCTTCACAGTTTTCAAGGTCATCAAAGTCTCATAAAGATGGAGAAACTGCTACAGACTGAAGGAGCATAAAGAGACAAGTAGGTACAAGGTCTGGTTCTGAACTGAACTGCGATCAAGAAGGCCAAGTAGCAAAACTTGAATGAGGCCTGAAGACTGAATGGTAGTTAACATGTCAATGTTCATTTTCCGATTTTGGTGGCTGTATCATGATTAAATTGGAGAACGTACCTGTCTGTAAAAAGTACACAATGGAGTAGAGATGATGATGCATGTCCGCAAACACTCTCAAATGATTTAGAAATACTTGAATTTTTTAAAGTTTATTTATTCTGAGAGAAAGAGAGAGCAGGGGAGAGGCACAGAGAGAGAAAGGGAGAGAGAGACAGAGACAGAGACAGAGGGGGAGAGAGAGAGAGAGAGAGAGAGAGAGGAGCAGAGGAGGAGAGAAACGAGGGAACCAAGCAGGCTCCACACTGTCAGCTTAGCCCAACTTCGGACTGAACTGTAAAACTGTGAGATCACAACCTGAGCGAGCCAGACCTTAACCATTATGTGCCTCTGCAGATACTTTAAATATCGTTTCATAATAGGGTTTTTAATAAAACAAATATTATCGCAGGTGAAATTCCGAACTAAAGTCAAAAGCTTGCTTATTCTAGAATGGTCTCTGCCACTACTTTTCCTGGCTTGTTTTGTTTCTTTGTGAAACTAAAGGAGCTTAATTTCTTATTAGAATATGAAAATCCCATCAATGAAATACTGGTTGTTACACAAAACAAACAGGTCTGTATATCAATATGGGCCTTCTACTGCTAAGATTCTAGAAGCCTATGAATTCTCCCAGATCTAAACATATCCTTTGTATCACGGCTTCAAAACAGACTCTGAAGAACCAGAATAGATTTAAGTGATATTTTATTTTTTTATTATTATTTTTTTAACGTTTATTTATTTTTGAGACAGAGAGAGACAGAGCATGAACGGGGGAGGGTCAGAGAGAGAGGGAGACACAGAATCTGAAACAGGCTCCAGGCTCCGAGCTGTCAGCACAGAGCCCGACGCGGGGCTCGAACTCACGGACCGTGAGATCATGACCCGAGCCGAAGTCGGCCGCTTAACTGACTGAGCCACCCAGGTGCCCCATGTGGTATTTTAAAGTTTGACTAGAAACTTTTTTTTTTTTTAATTTTTTTCAACGTTTTTTATTTATTTTGGGGACAGAGAGAGACAGAGCATGAATGGGGGAGGGGCAGAGAGAGAGGGAGACACAGAATCGGAAACAGGCTCCAGGCTCTGAGCCATCAGCCCAGAGCCTGACGCGGGGCTCGAACTCACGGACCGCGAGATCGTGAACTGGCTGAAGTCGGACGCTTAACCGACTGCGCCACCCAGGCGCCCCTGACTAGAAACTTTTAAACCAAATCTTAAAAGCCTGGAGTAGTGACTAAAATATAAAGTTCTCGTAGCCAATTTCTGGACATTTCAAGTGCTAAGCCAGAGCAGTTCCTGGCACTCCCTGACCAGATTCTCCCTATTTCTCTCCATCATCCAAGGTCAGCCTGTGGCCCTTCCCTCTGCTGATACTTGGTGGTCTGTAGGAGGGGCTGGCCCTTCAGAGGCTGGGGAGAACCTCTTCTAGTGAAATCCTTCACTTCTGTGCCTGCTTCGCTGTCACGAGCACCTCGATGGCTGGAATGCATCTAAGTCATCCTTGGGAACCCTCTGCGCGTCATACCACCCACGCTCCCATCTGTTCACAATTAAGTCTTCATATTGTTACACAGTGGCATCTGAATACAGATAAAAACACAAGGAGAAACCAGGTGAATTCCAAATCCAGTTTGGAATTCAGTGAACAGTACTGAACCAATCTTAATTTCTTAGTTTTGATAAATGACCCATGGTTATATAATTTCTTAACAATAGGGAAAGCTAGGTGAAAGGTACATAGTAACTCTCTTGTGTCATCTTTATAACCATCCTGTTCATCTAAGATTATTTCAAGATAGGAATGCCTGGGTGGCTCAGTTGGTTAAGCATCCGACTTCAGCTCAGGTCATGATCTCGAAGTCTGTGAGTTTGAGCTCTGCGTTGGGCTCTGTGCTGACAGCTCGGAGCCTGGAGCCTGCTTCGGATTCTGCGTCTCCCTCTCTCTTTGCCCCTCCCCTGCTCACACACTCTCTCTCTCAAAAATAAAAAAACACTAAAAACTTTTATTGCAAGATAAAAAGTTTAAAAACAAAATAAAAGATGCTAAAAAAGAAAAAAGAAAGGTTTTATTCAGAGCTGAGCAGAGGATATCTACTTACTCTCTGTCTTTTCTTTCTTGAAGTACTTCATTCCAGCCAATAAGGCTCCACCAATAGCAAATGTGAATGCTAAAGACTTCCAGGAAACAGGCTACTGGGGCAGAGATTTTACAAACAAAAATACTAGTCAGATGCAAACATGCAATCGTCCTACATGTATTACTATGGTAGTTTTTAACATACATAAACACACATCTTGATCTTCTTCAACATGTAGAATGTTTCATGTTGCTCTGGGATGAGAAAATACTGGGGCACCTGGGTGGCTCAGTCAGTTAAGTGTCTGACTTTGGCTCAGGTCATGATCTCACCGTTTATGAGTTCGAGCCAGCCCCGCATCGGGCTCTGTGCTGACAGCTCAGGGCCTGGAGTCTGCTTCGGATTCTGTGTCTCCCTCTCTCTCTCTCTCTGCTCCTCCCCCATGCAAGCTCTGTCTCTCAAAAATGAATAAATGTTAAAAAAAATAAACTGAAAAAAAAATACTTGACAGTGTCTGTGGATGCAATTCTATCTGGGCTGCCAACACAATTACAGAGGCATTCCTTTTCAAGAAGAAATTCCCTAAGTCCATTTCCTTTCATGTGAAAGAGGACCTGAAGCTCAAGTACCAGGACTGTTAACACGTGTGACCTTGACCATAGTGGCTGATTTCAAATCCAGTTAATTATGTGTTTGTGCTGATATGGAAAACATAAATAAACCAAATAACAATTTGGGAGGTCACTCTAACTCTGGCTTCCAGAAGTAACAAAGTCAAAGTAGAAGAGATCTAAAAAATGGAGCTTCTTGCAAATTGCATCAAGTTAATTCTTTGTACTCTTTTTCAGGTCCCAAGGTAAGTAAGATGTCCACTACCTTGGTCTAATTCATCACCCTTCTTCCCCCAGCTTCTAAAACCCACTTCTCTTAACCATCACTAGTGGGGAGCGGCTCTCAGGTTTTTCCAGATCAGAACTAGAACCTGAGCGAAATCAAAGAGGGCATACCCAGCACACAACTACGACCCACATTTTGCTCAATGTCAACTTACACATCGAACATCTAAAGGGGCGTTCAAGTGACAGGAATTAATATGCTTGGATTCCTCACTCCTGGTCAGTTCAAGGTTGAGACCTTCAAGAACACCCGAACTCATTTTGGGGGCAGGGGGCACAAAAGCGCACTACAATCCAAACCCGAGAATCCAACCGCGGGGAGGCGTCGGTTCTCTCTTCCGCGCTGGGACCTCCCGCAAACCGAGGGGGTCGCGGGATGAGAGTCTGTGACCGCCTAAGGCTGAGCCGAGGACCCTTCCAGGCCCGGCCGAGTGGCTTCCGAGATTGCGACCAAGTGGGATGGGGAGGTCGCGGGCCGGCGTGGAGACGCGACGGACAGAGGGAGGGCTCCGGCTGTACACTCACCCCGGGCTTGGAGGGCCGCGTGGGGTCTCTGCGGCCCTTCGGCTCGGGACCCGACGACCCCGGTGGAGGTGGCGTAGCCGTGCAGAGGGGCCGGTCTCCCCGGCAGCTGCGAGCGAGCTCCGAGGTCCGTCGCGCCTCCTCTCGCAGCGCGCAGAGCTGCCACATCCAGGCTCCGGCGGTCCCGTCCGCCGGGGCCCAGACCCCGAGTCCGTGGGGCAGGAGACGCCAAAGTCGGCTCCCCGGAAGCCGCATAGCGGACCCCGGTATCAGTAAGAAGCCCGCCATGGACCTAGGAGACCGCGCCTCCTCTAGCCCGCCCCCAACTTCCGGCGCCGGCTCCACTTCCTCCGGAAGTCGCAGGGGGCCGCTCTTTCCGCTCCGCTCGTTGGTGGCGAGGTCGCCGAGCCGGTACCCCGGGAGGACTTGGCCGCGGACCCGCCGCGCGGTAGGTGGTTCCTTGCGGCTGGAGGCGGGTCCGGCCGGGGCTGGGCGGGGGCTTCGCGGCGCGGGCGGGCGGCCGACCGACCGGGGGCGGGAAGCTGCGGCGGCGTCCGGGCCGCGCGGCGGGGGCGTGGCGGCAGTCACCGCCCGCAGAGCCCCGGTTCTCCTGGACGCCGGCGGGGAGCCGCTGGGCTCTGACTGCGCTGCGCCCCCAGTGTGGAGGCGGACCTGTCGGGGTAATTGGGGCGGCCGCGGTAGGGTAGGAGTGCCGGGCGCCCGCCGTCGTCCCCTCGCCGCGATGTCACCTCTCTGGGAGCCACGGCTCTGGCTCAGCCCGCTGGGCCCCCGCGTCCCAGGGTGCTCTCGCCGACGCCCCTCCCCGCCTCGGTTCCCGGGTTCAGCCTGGCGGGTGAGGCCCTCACCTGGGACCCCCTGCCTTGGGGGGCAGCCCGCGTTCACGGCACGGAGCATCCCTGCGCCTCCCGTGCTCGCGGAGGTACAGCTTGCGCGCGCACACACACACACCCTCACAGCCTCTTTGCCTTCTTAATCTCTTCGCGTCTGCACTCTTGACGCCTCCCCACCCCACTGGATTGGCAAAACACTGGAAAATGCCCAATTCTCTTCCTTAACTTCAGGTCACACTCCCGCGTGGCCTTTGTCAGCGAGCTTCCAGTGAGCAGAAGCAGCTCGTGTCCCAGTGATTGGGGGACTGGGGCAGGCTGTGTCCTCGAGCCCGCACCACTGGCCCAGGACGGTCAAGTTGGAGCCCGGTGATGCCTGAGTTTCTTGCTTCTGGAATCGAACTGGGATTTTCTGGAAGTTCCGCCCCAAGTACACGGTGCACGTCAGATCATTTTCAAAGTAAAATTTTCTGTTCTGAGATTGCCCTTGGGTAACTTTTTTTTTTTTTTTAATCGTCTTATTTCTGTGTATTTGTTTTCCCAAGGAGTTTTCCCACAAATTGCCAAAAAGATTCAGTAACAGCTTGCTAACTCAGGCAAGGAGCACACAAAATTATTGTTTATCTTTTTTAATTGCTCCTTTGTATGTTAAGTATGTCGATCATATGGTTTAAAATTCAGTGTTATTTTTGGCTGGTCTGTTAAATTGTGTTTGCCAAAGTGATTCCTTCAATAGCTTTATTCTTGATTTGTTTATCAAAGCATTTTTTACAACTGTTTTTTTAAGTAAAAAAAAATTACTTATTTATTTTTATTATTTATTTTTGAGAGAGACAGCATGAGCAGGGGAGGGGCAGAGAGAGAGAGGGAGCCAGAGACTCCGAAGCAGGCTCTGTGCTGACTGTAGCAGTTTGGTGGGGGCTCAGACTCACGAGCTGTGAGATCATGACCTGAGCCAAAGTCGACTCTCAAGCGACTGAGCCACCCAGGTGCCCCTACAACTATTTCTTATTACATTTATAATATTAAATAAAATACTCATTTCTAAAACCATTCTTGACTCAAAGTAGGTGTTTTAAAAGTATATGTGGGATGAATTGCTCATCACACTTCTAAACCTGATTTTATGGACCCGTGAAACTCTAGTGTTAAAAGATCTCTAAGAAGTTTTCTGGTGTAAACCTGTCGCTTTTATTACGACTTTTAAACCATGGAGATCAGCAAATGAGTTTTCCCCTTTCAATTTAGATACTGTTTTTGAAGGAGACGGGACCTAGGTAATATCATCTAACGTTTGTTCTATCAGTAGCGACCGGGCTGATCAGATTTTGTGCTTGACCTAACGTTAGGCTGTCTTGACTAGGACAGGACTAGCCTGACTTTGTGTGGCTCCCTGTCATTGACTCTAAGTCTAAAGTTCTCTTTTGGCCAGCAAAAGAGCGGACACAGGATTAAAGTGAGAGATGGCTAATATCTGGGAAAAGACAAGAGCCCCAAACAAGGGTCTTCCCCGTTTTTATTAGGATCAGAAGGCTTATAAATGTGGTGATGGATGTGCACAAAGGGACAATGAATCTGTGACTGTAAACTTGTGGACGTGAGGGAAAGGGGGTCTTAAGGATATTCGGGGTTGGGGGTTTGGGTTAATACAAAACAAAATCCAGGCGCTGGGAAGTTGGGAGGAAGGTTGTTTACAGCAGACAGGAGGCACGACCTCTGTTTATCTTAGCTAGCCTAGGGGATGAGACAGGTAGGAGGAATAACCTCAGGGTTGACAAGGCGCCTTTTCTTTTGTTAACCATCTATGCTCCAGGCTGCTTTGCCTGCAGCGTGGGATCCATTGTCCAATTTACCTAACCTGGCCCTATCCCCCTGTGAAAGCAGCTTCTGCCATAGGACTAAACTGGGGTGCTTCCACCTTGAATATCTAATCTTGTTTATTTCATATACCTGTGTACTGGGCACCTTTGCACCGTTTCTATTTCAGGACTTTGTCCCTCCCTCTCTATTCTGGGGGCTCTGCACCCCCTCTCTATTTTGGGGTGCCTTTGCACCTCCCTAGTCCTGGCACCTTTGTGCCTCCTTATCCTCGGGGTGCCAATCTGGTTTACCCAAACTCAGGTTTGAGCGTTTTAATGGCTTTGTATTTCTTTAAGCATTGTTAACCCATTGGCGTAAGCCCTGGGGGGGG